GTCTTGTCTCCGAAGGAGAGAAAGCTGAGTCTGTCTTTGCTTTAAGACTCAGAGAGCAGAAAGCTCTTTGCCGGGGAAGGCTCTTTCCTTGAGCATGGTCACAGCCCGTCCTGTGGTTTTGCAGCCCATGAGGAGAGCTGCCTGTACAATCTATAGGAACCCATCAGCCTCAAGAACTTCTGTGGTTTCTGAGTCACGGTTGGGCCATTTCAGCTTCCAAGCAGAGACGCCCAGGGAGGACTCACCATCTAGGCCTTTGCTGGCCTCCTCTGAAGAGGAAGGAGAAGACGTCTGCACCCCACAGCAGACCCTGGCTCCCCTCAGTCTCTGCATGGAGCCCCAGCATCACAGCCAGTCCCAAAGGGAAAGATGCTCAAGATGGCCCAGCTGGGGTGCTCCAGACCCACGTGCACACCTCTGTCCGGTGTCCTGTCTACAGATCCTGCTGGGAGCTGCTGTAGTGTTACCATGAATTTGTTCTGGCCAATGCAGGGAGGAAAGAAGGGAAGAGAGGGACAGAAAGGCGTGCTAGAGGAGTGCTGGGTTTCAGGCAAATTGGGAAGAAGGGTCCCGGAAAGCTTCCCCCTTCTTCCCAGGAGGGGAACTCCTGCTGCACCAGGGTTGCTGCTCCAGCTCTGTCCTGCTTCCCTTCGCCTTTTCCCACAGCAAAAGGGGAGCGTTCCACTGGCCTCAGCAGTTTCTTGTTCCTTTTATCTGGGGGTTGCGACGCATCTAAAAACCCCTGTTGTTTTCACTCAGGCGTCCTGCCTCCCCCGCCTGGATCCATTTCCTCTTTTCAGCAGTGCATGTGGGTGAGGGTGGGTGGTTGGAAAAACGGAGCCGGGAGACAGAGCCCGTAGCTGAACGAGAGACACCGTTCCTTCCTGGTGTTAACCAACGACACTTCCGAAAGGGGTGCCCACCCCAATTCCTATTACTGACGATCGCTGCCCATATTAACCCAGTTCAGAAGTCATGCTCCGTCCAGCGCCCGGCAGGGCCGAGGCCAAGTGGGTGGGTGGGTACTGGTTCAGAATGTCCAGGTCTGTATCCCAGCTCTGCCGCCACCGTGAACTTGGGGGAGTTGCCTAATCCCTCTGGACTTCAAATGGCCCAGATGATGGTTGCTAATAACAACACCTATCCCCCCAGGACTATTGTGAGATTTAGTGAAAGAATCAGCTTGAAGCACTTAGAAAGGTGCCTGATAGGTGGCCAGCACTCAACCAATACCAGGTCCTACTGATAGGTGTGGTACCTCTCGGCGGTGGGGCCTCCTTAGCTTCGGAGATGAACTAGTTGTCAGTGCACCAGGGTATGCTGTTCTAGCAAAGTTTGTACGAGGAGTCAGGTTACCAATAAACAGTTTCTTGGTGAACGTGCACTTAGGGCTGGGTGGGGACAATGGGCAGCAGGAGGCTCATATGGCTTCATTTCTCTCCCAGGAACTGGCCCAGAAGCCCCCCGTGGCTGGTCCAGGAGCCCTGCTCTCCTGCATGTAGGAGGGAGGCCCAATCGGGTTGCAACATCTGCTGACTCCAACATCCCCCAAGCCCGAGCTGTTTGACCTGACTGGTTGGAGCCACCCCCTCTTTCTGGTAGCTTTTGGGTGTCCTTTCGGATTCACCCTTGGTCAGAGAAACATCTCCCCAGAACCAGGAGGCCTCATCTTCATTCAGGGCCATGTAGAGGCTTGGCCAGCCCTGTCGGAACTGCTGAGCACAGCGGGAGACACCCTGAAGGCCCAGCTGTCAGACTCCCGCCCCTTCTGTCCTCTCTGGCCCGTGAACAGATGTCCTTCCTTCCCTCAGCACACAGTACAGGCAAACAGCACTCTGCTTTGGATAGACCTGCTCGAGTGGGGAGGTCACCCTGGTCACACTAATGTTTGTCTGGGCGCTATGCAGAGGTCAGTTCTCTGGGGGTGGGACTTCTGGTGCAGGGTACTGAGCTCACATGTTATTCAGGATTTCCCCACCCCCACCCCCTTGATCTCTGTTTTAGGTTTTGAGCACTTTGCACTTCTCTTCAAATATAACTTCATAATTTCTTTTGTTTTTTAGTAATGAAATACTTTTTGATACAATAGTTGCATTTATTAATCAGCTAGTATACTAATTGGGTGATTTTCTTGCATTATCTTTAACCTATACAACAACTGATTCCAGTTTTATAGATGAGGAGACTGGAGCTCAGAGGAATCAGTAAAATCAGTAATTGGCCCAAAAATCTGTGTTTGTTTGCTTGTTTTTTTTTGGCATTGCCTCAACATGATGAGTATTTTTCTCCCCAGTTGAAATGGAAAACATTTGCATTTACCTTTTATCTTCCAAAACAATTTATTGAAACCTCATTGAAGACCAAACCTGGAAAAATCAAGACATTTTGATCTGCATGAGCCCAGATTTTGCAAGGACAAAAAGTTCACGTTTCTGTTTCATTTGTCTGTTTGCTCGGCATATCCGAAGTCCAAGTCCTGTATCCAATGGGAACCATGGAAACTAGCAGCAGGATGCAGTGGTGCCAAGTGGTGATGCCTGAACAGGGCAGGGGCCAAGGACGGGTCGGGGAGACATAGGAGAAGGGGAAGAGTCCACAGACATGGACGACCGATGTGGGCTGCGGTCCAGCGCCTTCACTCGGGCGGTCACTTCAGCCTTCTCCATGTCTGCTCTAACCGGTTCCTAGATGTCCTTGCTGTGTCCAGGCTTCATGCCTCTGGAAGTGTTGCACTGGCTTCTTTCTGCCTGGGAAGACCCTGTTGTCACTCCAGAAACCTTGGGTCTCTTTGCCTGTCTCCCCTAACTAGACAATGAGCTCCTTGAAGGCAGGTGCTGAATCCCTCCTCTCAAAATCCCAGTTTCTGGCACAAAGCCTCGGGCACCCGGAATGCCTGTTGAGAGCAAATCAATAAATGAAAAAAGAGGCAGGATGAAGAGGAAGAAAGGAAGTAAAGAGAGAAAGAGTGCAGACATAGGGTGAGCCATCTGACCTTAGGATGATCGCTGCTCACTGATGTTACGTGTTAAACCTCATCGGAATGAGGCCTGAGAGCAGTCCTTAGAGCACATGCCTCTGCTAGTTGCTGGAGCTTGGACCACATGAAATGGAGTGGTCCAGAGGATAGTCTAACATTCTGTCCCAACAGTTTCCATGAGACTGAGGCACCCCTAGAGGTCATGCCTTCTGCAGACACTGACGTGGATGTGGGCTGGGGCTGCTAAGAGCCAAGACAGGGGTAGCAAGACAAGGGACAGAACCCTGACAACCTGTCCCATGTCCTGACTTCCAGTCCTGGATGCCCAGGTAGCCTGGGAGCTGGGCCTTTCTCACTGTTCCTGTGATTTACATTATAGAATCTCTCTCTGTTTGCTTTCACTTTTTCTGTTCCTTTCTTGCTACTTCCACACTTAACTGATCCCCCAGGCGCTCAGGAGACCGAAATGTAAGCCAGAGCAGGAGATAGGGCTTGAATTAATTTCAGCGTCTTTGTGTCTTGCGGTAAAATAGAAAATCTTGCATCTTATGTCCTGTTTGTCTTGGCATGCTCTATTTTCTTATTTATTTCCCCATCAGTTAATTTTGGAAAAGAGAAAGACTTGTCTTCTCTAACGTCCAGATATTCTATGTTAAGTCTGGTGGCATCAGCACACAAGTTTGGGAGTCAGGCAGACACTGCAACTTTGCAGAATGACCTTGGGCAGGTTCCTCTGAAGTCCCCTCCCAGAGCTGGCTCTGTGGACATTCCTGGAAACTGGAGAACCCAGCACCACCTAAAGTCTGGCTGCTGCCTTTCATTCCTGCAGCAACAAACCCACCTCCTATTTCTTTTATGACAATTACTGTAATTAAAGAAAGCACCACAGTTTTCGTCTCACTGGCAGGGCAGGCAGAGAGAGCTTGCTCAGATCGATGAAACTCATAACGGCACAGGACCAGGGCTGCCCCTGCCCCATGTGGTCAGGTGGGTGCACTTTCTCCATCCTTTGCACTTGGGTAGAGAGAGCTGGAGAGCACTCCTTCCCCAGGCTTTCCACTGTCCTAATCTCTTATATCCTCTGCATTAAAAAGAAGGGTGAGCTTGGAAAAGCTTGAGTCCCGGGGACCCCAGAAGCGAAGGTGGGGATCCAGGAGGCGGCACTTGGGGTGGGGGTGGGGCCTGCCGATTGCATGAATATGCAAGAAGCTATCCCCATTTCAGCTTTTGAGGAAGAAATGGCCACGCAGGCCAAGGAAGCTGGCAGCTCACTTGCTCTGGGCCAGAAGGAGAGCAACGCAGCTGGTTCGGTTGGCTATCTCAGGCTGATCACGGGCTCCGATGGGCAATTATACATGTCTTTGATTAATAAAAAATGGGGCAATGAATGAATACTTAATCAACGCAGGCTGGCGGGGAGGCTCTTTCAGAACCTGGGCTGGGGGTGAGGCAGGGAGTAATCAAAGGGGCCCTGGGAGGTGAAAAGGCAGGGCAGCCACGGGGGGTGTTTCTGGAAAGCTCTCCAGTCCTGGTCCTTGGGTCTCCGATAGATTCTGTGCTGGTGGATCTGCTGGACGTGCCGGGAGCAGGAGATGGGAGAGAGTGGAGCTGGTGGGCAAATGGGGAAAATGTATTCTGTGCCCACCCATGTGTCCAAAGAAAAGCACAAGGAATAGGGTGTGTGTGTGTAGGTGGCTATGTGTCCTCTGTGTGTGACACGTTTGTGGTCTGTTTGGTCCCCTGGGTCTGCCTGTGTGTCTGCAATGGTATTAAAACTCACTTGGTTGGGGGTGGGGCGGGGGGAGAGGCCCGGGAGCTGGGAGGCGGAAAGAGCGGCTGGAGAGATGAAAGGGGCCGCTGCTGGGGTTAGAGGAGGAGACAGGATGGAATCCAACGGCTGGATCACAAAGGGTGAGAAAGAGCCTTGGAGCCCCAGCAGAGGAGAAGGAAGTGGTGGAGAGTGGGAGGTGTTGGACTTTTTGGACACCGCCCCGCGGTCCTGGCCCTTCCGGAGGAGGTGGGGTGGGAAGGGGGAGGAAGGGGACGAAATGGGCGGTGAGAAAGAGGCGAGAACTTGAACCTCAGAACCTGAGAGAGCACAGAGACGACCTGGAGAGCCTGGGAGGCAGCCGGTAGGGTGCTGGGGAGGGGCTGGCCGCGTGGCCGGGGAACAGGGGGACAGGAGACAAGGGTGGGGGGATCGATGGACAGTGAGGCCTCTGCAGTGCCTACGCGGGGGGCGGGGCAGACAGACCTGCGCTGTAGGGGTCTCGGCTGCTTTCCTGGCACATGGTAACCAGAGCAGGGTTACCACGGGGAGTCCAGGGAGGAAGGGATATTTTGGAGTTGGAACATTTTGGGCATTAGACTGGCCTAGGTTGTGACCAACTAACCCGGGTGACCTTGGACAGGTTGGGGAAGCCTGCTCTACACCGTTCGCCAGGTTGCCACGAGGATCTGTGAGCACACATATGAAGTCCCCTCACCGCGCTGACTGGAGCAGAGTGGCTGCTGTCATTAATTTCCTGGACAGCCCTCAGAATTGGGCTCAGTCCCCCTTCCCCACCTGCTGCCACCTGTGGTGGAATGGGGAGACTTTTTGCATCTATTTCTAACAGCTGGCCCTGCTTTCCAACCCACAGAAAAGACTTTGGCCACCTCTGGCTTTCCCATGAGTTCCCTGTACCCAGCAGCCTCTGTCTTCTTCCTCTTTAAAAAAAAAAAAAACACCAAAAATTTATTTATTTATTTTTAGAGAGAAGGAAAGGGAAAGAGAAAGAGAGGGAGAGAAACGTTAACATGTGGTTGCCTCTTGAGTGCCCCCTGTTAGGGACCTGGCCTGCAACCCAGGCATGTGCCCTAACTGGGAATCAAACTGGTGACCCTTTGGTTTGCAGGCCCGCACTCAATCCACTGAGCCACACCAGCCAGAGCATCTCTGCCTTCTTTTATAGGATCCAGAGACCCATTCGCCAATGGTTTCTACCCAAGCCAGAAACAGCCAGGACCAGAGAGCTACATGAACGGAAGTGCCTGCCAGGGGAATCGTCCAAGTGCTGCAGTGCCAGGCCTTGTCCCTTCTGAGATCCGCCCCCGGTGCCAGTGGGGTTGGAGGGTCTGCTGTACTTCAGGCCATGCCAAGCCAGGGACCGTGCCTGCACGTGGCCACCCTGCTGACGGGGCTGCTGGAATGCCTTGGCTTTGCTGGTGTCCTCTTTGGCTGGGCATCCCTGGTATTTGTCTTCAAAACAGAGCATTACTTTGAGGACCTGTGTGAACGGAGCGCTGGGCTGATGAGCAACGCCACGGGCCACGATGGTGAGGGAGTGGTGACTTCTCTAGGAGGTTGAGCCTGGCTCCCAGGTGGTGGGAGAGGGAAGGGAGGACTTCACCTTCTGCCCCCGCTGCCGGCCTTTCCGTGGTGAAAGGGATGGTTGGCCAGCCTTCCCCTCTGTCCCGTCCTCAGTCTAAGGGGTGCCTGGGGAGGGAAGAACCAGCTTCTGAGGGATAATTAGGGGCAGTCACGCTTCGACTCGCCTAAGGGAAACCTTTCCGCCAGGAATGCTGTTGGTCCGTCTGCCCTGGGCTTCTGAGTTCCTCCCTTCTCTCCTCTAGACTGCAAAGCCCAGGACGAGAGGTTCTCCCTCATCTTCACCGTGGCGTCCTTCATGAATAACTTCATGACCTTCCCCACTGGCTACATCTTCGACCGGTTCAAGACCACCGTGGCCCGCCTCATAGCCATGTGAGTCTCAAAGGCCCAGCCTGGGCACAGGGGGGCAGGAGGAATTCCTCTGGCAGCAGCCCTGGCTGGAGGGAAACCCAGGCCAGGGAGTGAGCACACCCCGCACCCCTGTTTCCCTCTCCTCATCTTCTGCTTCTGCTCCTTGTGGATGCGTGTTCCTCAGGAGGCTGAGCTGAACAAGAGCCCAGGCCCACGTCCCGAAAGGGCAGGCCTGGGGCCAGGGTCACCACACTAGCAATACCTGCAACTGCCACCCCGCCTTCACCCTGGGGACCCTCGTCCGAATCTCCTGCAAGGCCTCACACCAAGGGGCTCAGGCTTAATCATCCTCCTCCTTACCCTCCGTCATTCCCCAAAGGCTGAGTAGATGAGTCAGGGAGGGTCAGGGGCTTGATCTTGCTCCCACAGAATGTCCCTGCAGCTGGCCGTGTGTTCAGCAATAAGCACTGGTCTGCTGGGGACTGGTAGGACCTGAAGCAAGCGCCTCCTGGTGGGCATGTGAGACATTAGTTGGCAGACAGAGGGACTGGAGGGCAGGCTGGGCCAGGAAGCAGCCAGAGATCAAGTCCCTTGTCCTTTAAACCTTTGGGTGCATGAGGGCTTTGTGTCAGTTTCTTGGTCTTTGGCTCTCTGTCCCCCCCTCTATCTTCCCCTCTCTTTGCCCCTTCCTCTTCCCAGCCTTCCTCAGCATGTTAAGAAAATCTGAGTCTTCCTTTCTGTGTTTCTTCTTTACTTCCACACAGAACACTTCGACTTTTGACGCTCTGGTCACCACATGTGTGAGTTGTTTTCTCCACACTGGACAGTTCTGTGACACCGGCTGGGTGTTCCACAGTGTAACTCAGTGCTGGCATTTTCTGTGGGGAGACAGTGTCAGACCCCGGAGGCGAAGGGCTCAGTCCCATGAGACTGCCTTCATTTCGGGTGTCGCAGGGGGTAGGTCCCCTGTGTGGGGGGAGGAGAAAATCTCCCTTCTTTCTACTTAGTTCTTCTGGCTGGTCTGAGGATCACATTGGCATGAGGCACATTAATGGGAGAAAATAACCACATTTAAGTCCACGGGTAACATATAGAGTCTCCGTGAGAATATGGAACCCAAGATCAGGCCATTGAGGCTTATCTGTCGTCTGGAGCTAAGGAGGAAGGAGGACAGAGAGTGGTTTGGGACTTCAAAGGGGGAGGAAGGCAGTTCACAGGGACAAGCAAGTGTTTGGTAAACCCATGTTTGCTGGACCATCGTTAACCATGGGACCCGGAGGGACTTCTGCTGACTGACGTGCTAAGCTCCTCCCTCTCACACGCTGGTTCAGGTTAAACCGTAGTTGTCTGCGATGGTACCTCCCACCTGGCAGCAGGTCCCCTACATTTTGGGGGGTAATTACGGGGAGGGTCAAAGCTTCTTTCTGAGTTTTTTGTTTCTTAACAACAACCAGCTTAAAATAAGCACTGGTCTTCCCTGACCAGTGGGGCTCAGTTGGTTGGGAGTCTGTCAAGAAAAGTGAAAGGTCACCGGTTCGATTCCCAGTCAGGTCACGTGCCTAGGTTGCAGGCCAGGTCCCCCCTAGGGTGTGTGTGAGAGACAGCTGATCAATGTTTCTCTCCCTCTCTTCTTCCCTCCCTTCCCCTCTCTCTAAGAGTAAGTAAATAAAATTTTTCAAAAATTAAAAAAAAAATCAGTGTCCCAAAGAGGCACATTTTGGGAGGCAAACTCTGTTCCCCTTCACCAGGTTACTCACAACTTCTTTGTCCAACCTGGCTATGGATCAGAGGTTCCCATGGTCTCCTCCAGATTTCATTATTTGATAAAGCAGCTTATAGACTCATGGGAACACGAATGCTTACTAGTTTCCGAAAGGACGTGATAAAAGATACAGAGAAACAGCCAGATGAAGAGCTACATGTTAGCCATTCTCAGAAAACATTCAGGTAAAGGAAATACGACTTCTGTACATAAAGCTTCTGTCCCCTTGGAGTTGGGCGAATCACCCTCCTGGGATTGGGAGTCTGGGGCGGCTTCTTCAGGTAGGCGTAGTCAGTGATGAACTCCATTTCTAGCCCGTCTCCACTCTCCAGACCAGTGTGTGGGGACGGGGCTGAAAATTCCAAGCTTCTAAACATGGCTCAGTCTGTCTGGTGACCAGCCCCCATCCAGGATACACCCAGGGTTGCCTCATCAAAACCAAAGATGCTCCAGTGCTCTTAGCACTTCACTTAGGAATTTGTGAGGGTTTTAGGAGCCCTGTGTCAGAGGCTGGGTACAAAGACCAAATCCATATTTCTTATTATAAAATCATAGTATCACAGTTCGCCCCCTGGTCCAGCAGCATGGATTCCTTATAAGGAATCACAGAGTTCAAAAGACACGACACCGTACTCATCCCCTTCAGTCACTAGTAACCATCTAGTCCATCACCATATCATATGAAAACGTCTCCCAGGGCCACTCAGGTCTGCAGGCTTCTACTGGATCTTGCCCAGTTCCAGAAGTAGGAGTGGTGTCAGCAAATTATGTCCTCACCCTTTTAGGCCCCTGGGATAACTGAGCTAAGAGACAACATCATCTCTTGCTCTGAGCCTCTTTGGAGGGGTTAATAATGTAATACTGGATTCCCTTCACTGCATAATGCACTTACTCATCCCTTTATCTTCAGTGACTATTCCTCCTTCTCTTCATTTTTACCCACATGTCTCCATGATGTGGGTCTGGATTGTGGGTGAGCACCCCTCCCCCACCCTGGCCCACTTCTGTTCAGGTCACGCAGGTGCAGAACTACTCGGCTGTCTATGGCACCATGTGGGCAATCTAGCCGCATTCGCTGTTGGCCCTGGATTTTGCCAGATGGGCTGAAGGCACATCCTCCCCCATCGAGCTCTTAGGAATTGTAACATAAAGGTTAAGCACAGTTCCAGTTTCTCTCTCAGGAATCCTCCCTGTTTCCATCTCTTGTACCCACTGTGTTGGTAAGGAAAAAAAAATTTTTTAAGTTGATGTGGAGCAGAAAGAACACCACAATCTTCTCTGTCTCCTCTTCCCCAGGTCTACGTAAAAAACAGGGACATGTATCCAGTGGGCACACTCCTTTAAGTCCCTCTGATGCTGAGTGTGAACACACGCTTGCGAAGGCGTGTAATCCAGCCCTTCCCACCCTTATTTTTCTCCATCTCCAACAACCGGTGCTTCAGTTGCCTGGTCCAATTCTCTGTCAAACTAGTACTCTGGGAATATCTCTGTCCACTGTTGGACATTCGGGCTGTAAAGGGTGGTTTTTGGTGTGAACAGGTGGTGGTCAGCCATGCAGATTGGTACAGTATTGATTCTTTTATTGCATCCACCCCTAGTAAGCACAGCCCAGTCCAGAGTTGGTGTTGATTCCTGTTGGGACCCGTGTGTAGCTGCCCAGTGCTTCCAGCAGCTGTTCCTCTTGCCAGCTCCATTCAGGGACTTCCCCCGGAGCATCTGCCACGTGGCCACCTGCGGTCTCTGCCTTCTTTGCTGGCAGGCAGAAGAGCTCTTACTGGACTCTGTGCCCCAGAGGCTGCGAGAGGACTACATCTAGGTCCAGCCCCTCTCTGCACTGCTGCAGCAGCCCCAGGTCCACTCAGCTGATGGACCCAGGTCGCCACATCAAGCGAGCACAGAGGGACATATGCTTGTTGATTTCAGTCATTATCTGAACTTGGAAAGGGGTTCTTCAGATGGACATCGACATGTCCTACTTTAATGCACCCCTCAAATGCCATAGTGATTTCCACAGGGCCATTCCTCCATAAGGGCCATTCATCCCTTATTAAAGGGATGCCCCCTGCCTGACCATATGGCCAGGCCATTGGGCTCTGCCCACCAGCCAGTAAAAACCCAACACTTTTCCATCTTTGCCCCTGCAACTCAGCCATGGAGCTGCTCTGTTTTTACCTCCTTTAATCAAAGTGGTGGCCTTCCAAACAGGATGTTGTCCATGTAGCACGAAACTGCCGTCCGCAAGCCCAGCAGCTCTGTCTGGGTCAGGTAAGGGTCCTTCATCAGGTGGAGTCCCAGTGACAGTGGGACCCAGCAGCCCTCACCCGGTTCTTGAGTCAGATCCACGAGAGAGGGGGCTCCCTGCTGGGGGGTCTCCTCCTTGCGTCCCCCAGCAGCATGAACTGGTGTGAGCCCTCTGTTATGGAGCTCTTCTGGGCACGGCCATGCCTCTTAGAACGCTTCTCCAACGGCAGCCCAGACATTGTGGACCTTTCGTGTTTGAAGATCATTTGATGTTCTTTAGTCATCAGTGTAGCTTCCACTAATGTCTGAAGACAAAATCATAGATGCCCTCCCATGGAGGTTCTCTAGTCCAAAGCCCAGTTGTCATCCCCGGGGGGTGCCCACAGGCTTTGCTGTCGCCCCGGTCGGGCTCCATGTGGCTGTGGCGTAGAGAACTTGTCCCTACGAGCCCTCCCATTTGTATTTCACAGTGTGCGAACTCAGGCGTTCTTACCGGCGCCTGTCCAGCATGTCCAGGTAGCCTGGCTTCCCATGCCTCTGTTTGACATTGTAGGTAGGGGCCCTGGTCCCTAGTCGGACACAGTGTCCACCCCCTATAATACAATCAGGTGAAGCAGGCACAACCACTTCACACAAATCCTCTTCAAACATACCAGTTTTCCTACACACTCTAAAAATCCTTACCTGAGGAAATGTTCATTGATCTTAGACAGAGAGGAAGGGAGAGAGAGAGAGAGAACATCGATGTGAGAGAGAAGCATCAGTTGGTTGCTTCCTGTTCGTGCCCCGACCAGGAATCGAACCCTCAACCTTTGGGTGTACAGGACAACGTTCAAGCCTGTCAGGACCAACCCTGACATTCCTAACTGTAGCCTCCTTAGGATGTTATCCACCAGTTTTGGTTTCTTGTAATCTTATCAACTCTTACATTTTCAGCTCCTCCCATGAAAAACCTGCTTGTCAGGGGCCTCACTGGTGGGTTTTGGCACCGTGGTACGTGAGGCTGCTATTGCAAGGGCCCTGAAAACATTTCTCCACCCCCCCACCATATTTATTTATCTTGTGCAGCAGGTGTTGGGTCCCCAGTGAGGGGTCAAGGTACTCTGGTCCTTGTGTCTGTCTGTAACTTAATTAATCTGCCTCAGGCATTTGCTGGTCTGGTTTCTCATAGTCTTGTTCCTTTAAGGCAGAGCGACCAGCAGGGGGTTCCCTTGGCCCACCCAGCCATCTGCAGGGCTGTATCAAAACCTCTGTTTTAAGGCCCCATGGCACCTGCTGGAAGGACAAGTGTCGGGCCTTTGCAAGGCCAGGAAGCTTCTCCGCCACAAGGAGATCGGAGGTGGGAGATGAGCAGCACCAGGAGGCCCATCTGGGCCCAGCCCTGTGAGCCGTCCTTTGGGACCCCTTCCCATGCAAGCGGCACTGTGCTGGGACAAGTGGGGTGGAAGCCCGGCCGCTCCGTCCTGCCACCCCAAAGTCACGGTGGTTTGAATTTTACTGAGGAAAATGACGAAGCTCTGGTTGTTGGATTCGGCTGCAAAGGCCGTGCTGTTGGTGACATTTCCAGAGTCTGCTGTAAGGTTGTCAAAGTAGCCAGTGTCTCTGTGGCCTTGTACAGGCCGTAGACCTAAGTTTGGGGGGTGAAAACACGGCACTATTTGCTTTATTCACTTCAGTGCTTAATGCCAGTTTAGAATTTCTATCAGTCCCTTCATGCTCCCCTCTCCCCTCCCCCACTCTCTCGTTAATTATGCTAATATAGTTATTAGCATCCCTAAGACCCAGGCGGGGAAGCAGGGACAGCAAATGCAGTAAGGCTTCCAGGACTGATACTCGGGGTGCCCACGTGAAAGGGCCCTTCACCGCAGCACCCATCGTGACCTGGGCAACAGGCGTGCTCAGCGGGTGACCATCCTGGTCATCACTGAGGTCGCGCTCCCGTGACTCGCATGCAGAGCGTGGCAGCTACTCCATCTGGGGTGTTCCACGTGGCACAGACGGAAACGGGACTGCAGTGGCTTTCATCCGGTCCACCCGGCTGGCCGCTGCCCTAGGAACAGCCTCCCGCGTGTCTGCATCACCACCACCACCTGTGATTGTCCCGTAGTCAGCTGCGGGCCCTGAATCCACCCAGACACGCTCTTCCGTCCCGCAGCATTCGAAATCAAAGACGTGGCCCCAGATACGTTACTCTCACCATTGACTTCAGTGAGGGTTCCTCAGGGCGTTGATGATACCCGTCCACAGAATGAAATGGCGCTTTCACGCTGTGCCCTCCGGTTCCCATTGTGTCTTGGTCCTGCTCTCCTCCCGCGCCGACTGCCTTCTTCATGCCCAGGGTCTTAGAGGTCCTGTCTGTTGTTCCCCCACAATTTTTCCCTTGGCAGGGTGGCCTGGAGGCTAACTGCTGCAGCTCAGACCGACCCAGCTCTGAGCTTGGTCTCGCCTAAGGGTCTGACCTGGCCCTCTCTTCTAATTTCATTGGAGCTACTACACGTAACAATGACCAAGAGACTGTGTATTTTACCTTTTCCTCACTAGTTTGCATTTTTTTACGCATCCAGTGAACCAGTTCCCTGAGAGTGGGCTCCATCTCTAAATTTTATTGGTGATTATGCCTTTAGAGACTGATTGTAACACAGCTGCTGGGCCATACTGTGGGGGACCACGTGGTCACCCAGGAATCAAAGGTTATTCATCTCACACCTGTTCATCCTTTCTTCTCAGACCCCACGCTTCCACCAGCCAGGGTCATTCTAGCAGATTCCACCCACTGACACCTGGGGAAAATTTAGTTCTCCTTTCGCCTTTGCTTTCACACAGAATGCGTCACTTCTGACACTTCTGTTCACCAAATGTGCGGGGAGATGTCCCCGCGCCAAGGAATTCTGTGACACCAGCTGGGTGTTGTACAACCTAACTCAGTTCTGATGTTCTTTACCTGGAGGTGCATCAGATCCCAGGAGTCTGCCCTGCACTGTAGACGCTAACCACAAGTGGTGGGTCCACAGATTACCTACAACTTCTGTCCAACTTGGCTACAAACTGGAGGTTCCGTGACCCCCATCCCCTACCCCTTGGACTTTCTTTGCTGGAACATCTCACAGAACTCAAGAAAACACTTCACTCACATTCACCAGTTCATTAAGGGACATGATTAAGGGTACGGCCAGCCAGTCAGGTGAAGGGATGGATGCACAGGGTGAGGTCTGGGAGGGTCCCCAGCACAGGAGCTTCTGTCCCCATGGAGTTGGCATGCGTCACCCTCCTTGGCATGTGGATGTGCTCGCCAACCCGGAAGCTGTCAGAGCCCCTTACTGTTGGGGTTCTACGGAGGCTTCTTCTCCTAGGCAATGATCAATTCTCTCCAGCCCCTCTCCCCGCTCTAGAGAACTTGGGGGAGGAGGGGCAGGGGGTGAAAATTCCAAGTGTCCAATCATGACTTGGTCCTTCTGGGGACCAGCCCCCATCCAGGTGCCTATCGAGAGTCACCACATCAGAGCAAAAGAGGCTCCCAGTGCTCTTCTCACTTAGGCATTTACAAGGGTGTCAGGAGCCCTGTGTCAGCAGCTGGGGAACAAAGACCAAAAAGGAGTATATTATATATTTCTTATTATAGATCACACTTAAGTATCGTTTTTATTACTCACGCCTTCAAAACCCCGAAACTACTGAGAGATCCCCGTAGCCTTGGGATCGTAGACCTGACATTATAGGACCCTAGAACTGTACACTTCAGGTCTAGATCATTCTAATTATTTCCTTTTATAGAAAGACCTACTGAGGCTCAGAGAAGGGCAGTGCCTTGCCCAAGGGTACACAGCCAAGAGGAATTAGGACTCAAGGCTTTCATTTCGGAGACCAGGCATTAATGTCTTTCCCCAAGGGACTGGCCGGTGGGGAGTGTGTCTGCCCCACCCCTCCAGGTTTCTCTCTTCTTGACGATACTCTCCACCTTCCCTTGTGTGTTTCAGATTTCTCTACACTAGCGGGACACTCATCATAGCCTTCATCTCTGCAGGTGAGTGTGGTCGGGTGGGAGGAAGGGACACCTAGAGCTCAGGGGCGCCAGGTGGGCGGGGCAGGTGCAGGAGGTGACGGCAGGACACACGGACTTCCACGGTTACTCAGAGATCCACAGACATGGCGCTCGAGAGAATCTTTGAAGGAATTATTGCTGGTCTGTGGAGATAGTTTAGTCTACTGAGAAATGTGGAAAATATGGACAATGAAGGCACTGCTTCAGAGGGTAGAAGTTATCCAAAGATCACATCTTTCCTCTGGTATGTGTTAAAATGCTCTGTCTCTTTTAAACATGAGATGATGATTTGAATGACTGGTGCTCTTAAAACTGTCCTCACTTAGCAGAGTAAAGGTAGATCACCCTATGGTAGTCAGAAGTTGTGTTCTCAAATTTTACTGGTCTATAAACATAGAAAATTCCCCAAGTCTGGGAATTCCAACACAGTTCATTACCACTTTCCCCCATCAAGTAGAGGACAAAACTGAAGCCAGGAGAGACTCCTGGCAAAGACTTGCCCACAGCCACAGAGTGAGTGATTGTGTGTTGGGGGGGGGTGGATGTGGGACCCCTGACCGGCCAAGAGATGCCTTCCCATATTACTCCCCAATGTCAGGTCATGAGGCTCAGATTTTGGGTTAGTAAGAGCATATAACTCGTGTGTGTGTGTGCGCGCGCGTGCGTGCAATACCTGTGCTGAAGCCCGAAAGTGACATGGCATCATCTCCACTGGTACCCAGTTAACACAGGCTGGGTGTCTCTGCCCAGACGGATCTCAGGAGGTAGCCTGGCACCCAGAGCCAGCTATTTAAAACCACTCTCCTGGTCAGTCTGGCTTCATCTTTCCTAACAGCCTGCAAATGATTTTCAAGTGGCTGAATGTGAAGGGGATGGTGGGGGATGTTGGACTCATTGTAAACCAGTCATTTGAGCAACAATTCTGCCTTCCCCCCCCAACACAGCACTTTTAGTTTGGGGGGAAGGTCTTGGGACTACACTGACCCTGTTGTAAAACGAATCATGACCAACCTCTAGTGCCTTCAGAGAGGTGTGCCTTTTATAGAGACAGAAGTTGGATCGGAAACTGTGCGAACCAACCTGCTTCTCAAGGTGTAGAACAACCGTTCATTACTTCAGAGGATAGTAGGAGAAACACACACATGCTACACTGACAAACAGGGAATCACCCACCTGGTGGAAAAGTTGTTTCATTTTTATTTCCCTGTGAGGCCTCTGATTTCATGAATGGAGGTCTTGATGTGGGTGGGGCTGGTGGGGCTGGTGCCACTGGAACACTGTGGCCGGAGCAGGTGGCAGGCTTTGAGCATTCTGAGGGCAAATGCCTCCATTTGCAATGTAACAATACTGTTTCCCTTCCATTGTATTTATTTTTGCAGTTGCTTGCTATTCATGACAAGCCACACAGGTTGCTCTTCATTTACAATAGTGATATGAAGTTTCCTTTAAAAATAACAGATTTCTTTTGGGTAAAAGGGAGCCAACTTAAAGAAAACATGTTAGCAAATACTAGTGTTACTGAATGGAGACCCGGCCCCGAGCAGGTCTGCCTCGGGCCAGACGGTAGTGTGTGGGTTCTTGACTTGGTGCGGGAAAGACTGCACGAGTCCAGGCGATTATGAAAGTGCGTGTATTAAAGCAGGGGAGAGTGAGACAGAGGAAGGACTTGGGGCAGGAGAAGCAGCAGGAGGGAACCCAGGCAGTGCTCTGCTAGTTGGCTCCCTAGAAACATAGGAAAGATGTGAGCCAAGGTGGGGCTGCTTTCAGCTCACTGGAAAATAAGGGGAGGGGGGCCTTGGAGACAGATTCAGGGGATAAGTCTGGGGATGAGCTGCCACTGCCCACTGCGTCCCTGGCTGCACGTCTTGTAGGGTCCCTTAGAGTCTAGGAGGAAGTAAAAAGTTCCTCCACGGTTCCTTCATGCCTGGGAAGGACCATGGGTATGCTCTAGAGAGAGCCCGTACTGGCATCCTTTGTCTTGAGGGATTTTCTCTCTCTTCTGGGACTGAGAGTCAGAGGGGGGGGGGTTTAGCAGAATATGCATCAGCTGTCTGGGTGCGTTTTTAATAAGCTGATGCATCAAAATGATCTCATGGGGGAGTATGGGGTCCTTCTCTGGTCAGCTTCATGGCTTTACTTTTATCTCGGGTCTGTCTGGCTCTAGTTGAGTTTTTGTTGTTTGTTCCCCTGACTTCATCCATCCTTGGGTTTGGCTGCCACAAATGGCATGAATCGGGTCTCTGTCTCCTATCTCCCTGACCATGTCGATTCAAGCGATTTATTCTCAGGCTAGGGAGGAAAGGTGTAGGCATTTGTTCTCAAGTGTCCTTGGTTAGGGAAGATAAGGTCTTGCAGTTCGGTAGCTGGCTGTGAGTTGTTCAAACTGTTTGGTCTTGTTTAATGATCTCGTCTCAGTTTCCCCATTCCACTAGCCCAGGAATGTTCCTAGCTTCTTACCATCCTGCCGCACTCAGACAGGCATGGGTCATGGCCAAAATCATGAAAGTGGGCAGAAGTTTGTGGTTTGGGAAAGACTAATTATTAAGCCAGACTCCCTTTGGCACTTCAGTTGTTTACTATGATCCAACATGTTCCAGAACGATTACAATGATTTTTCTTTTTTGCAAAAACAGGAAGTAGTCTTTCTTCAGTTTTTTCAAGGACAGGAAGTATTCTCTACTCAACCTGTGTTCCCCAATGCCAAGCACAATGCCTGGCATGAAGGCAGTGCTCCAAGTTCAATAAACAAAGGAAGAACAATCCCCGGGCTTGTTCTCACTGAGCTCTCCCAGTGCCCCAGGAGGCCGGAGGAGCAGAGGACTGAGTCACAGAGTGAGAATCCTGCTCAGAGCCGTGCAGTGAAGGAGAGGCTGGGCTTGGGGGCTGAGTCCGGGCTTCCCCTGCACAGCGCCCAGGACCGGCGGAGGGCTGCCTGTGCTTTAGTGAGGGCAGGGAGCAGTGGCATTTGGCTTTGAGTCCTGCCTCTTTTTGTAGAGAGACCCAGGCCTGCCAGGGACCAAGGGCCATCTTTGGTGGGGAAGAAGGTGGCTCTGGAGACCTCTGCAGGGCCTCTCTGTGGGGCACATTTTGGGGATCTCTGACCAGTACCTTAAGAGCCCCACCTCCAGGGTGGTCAGGAATTTGGAGCAGGTGGGGGCTGGATCTGAGGCTCTGTGTTTGCATTGTACTGTGGCAACACCCACCTCTGAGTTTGATTGTTCCAGCCTCAGCATCGCTGCTCTTCCTGGCCATGCCCATGCTCACCGTCGGCGGAGCCCTGTTTCTGATCACCAACCTGCAGGTGGAAAACTGCCCTCAACCCAGGCACCTGGCAGGAGGCTGGGGGGGGGATGGGGGGAGCAGAACACTTTTATCCCTCAGCTGTCTGAAATGGGGGCTGGCCTAAGCCAGGGAGGCAGCTGTGGACAGAGGGTGGTCTTGGTGTCAGGAAGGCCGGGCCCATGCTGGGTGCACAGGAAACAGTTCTTTAACAAATAAGTGAGTGATTCAGGCTGGTCGTGTATCCTCCAGATCGGGAACCTCTTTGGCAAACACCGCTCGACCATCATCACCCTCTACAACGGAGCATTTGACTCTTCCTCAGCTGTCTTTCTTATCATGAAGGTAAAAATCAGCAACAGCCAACATTTATTGAACACTTACATCTGCCAGGCACTGGTCTAGGAAACTTTGCATGATTTCTGTCCATGACCCCTTCTACTACTGCTAGTAAGGTGACGTTTGAACTGGAACCCAGGCCCATCTGGCTCTAGAGCCTATCTGGTGTTCAAGCCCCTCCTTTAAACTTACATAGGGTTTGGGGGGAGAAGCTAAGGGAAGGTGTGGCTACGATGTGCTTGGGCCAGCGCTGGCCACACAGTGGGTCCCTTTGGCATGGGGTGTTTGCACCTGTGAGCTTCCTGTTTGCACGAGGTGGGAGGCAGCTATGGGGACCGTGGGGGAGTAGTCACTTGGCATAGGGTCCTCATGGTTCATCTACGTTGCACCACGTGGCAGAATTTCCTTCCTTTTAAAGGCTGAATGGTATTCCACGGTCTGTGTGACCACAGTTTGTTGATCCACTCATCCCTGGAGAACACTTGGGTTGCTTCCAGCTTTTGGATCTTGTGAAGAACGCCGCTGTGAACAGGAGTGGTACGCTAACTTTTCCCTCCCCCTGCTGCAGCTCCTTTATGAACAGGGCATCAGCCTCAGAGCCTCCTTCATCTTCCTGTCTTTGTGCAGTGCCTGGCATGTTGGGCGAACCTTCCTCCTGATGCCCCGGGGGCACATCCCCTACCCACTGCCCCCCAGCTACAGCTATGGGTAAGGACTGTGGTCTGGTGTTTGTGGGCCAGTGCCCCTCAGGTGGCCTGAGGTGGGAAGCAGGGGGCGGGGCAGACAGGGTGATAAAGGGCAGAGAAAACCTGTCACAGAGGAGGACTGGAAAAAGGGGATATCGATTCGCTATTGCTGTATAACACACACCCCCAAAACTCACTGGCCTAAAACATTAAGCACATAATTATTCACAAGTCTGTGGGTAAGTGGATAGTTCAACTGATCAGGGGCAGACTTGGGTGATCGCGACAAGGCTTGTTCACGTCTCTGATCATCTATCTGGTGGGCTAGCTGAGAGCTAGGTGGTCTAGGATGGCAAGCATTTGAGGTGACAGGGATGCCTGGTCTCCTGACTCTCATCGCCCAGCAGGCTGGCTTGGGTGGATTTACATGGTGGTTCAGGGTTCAAGCGAGCGCAGAAGTGCCCGAAGTTCTTAAAGTTGAGGGCTGGGATTCGTACATCACTGTGTCTGCTGCGCATTTGTGGCTGAAGCAGCTAAGTCCAGCCCAGATTCAAGGGTGGAGAACGGCCAGAGCTGCAGTCACATTGCAAAGTATGGGGAGCAGAGGAGGTGAAGAAAGGCAACAGCCTTGCGGTCCATCGCCACAACAAGCAGGGCGAGGGCACGCATTTGCTTCTCACTTACTATTTGCAGACCCACGGGCTCTTGGGTTTCATCTCAAAATCATCCTCTGAGTTAGATGTCTTATCTTCATTTTCCAGATGGGATATTTGAGGCTCAGAAGGGTTAAGTCTGCGCCATGTTGCCTGCTAGGAAGTGGCAGAGCTGGGATTTGAACCTGGGCCTCTCCTACTCTTCCCACACTTCCCAAACGTTGCTGCCTATTAGAATCAGTAGGATTATTACTTGGAGATCTTTGAGAAAACATGGAAGCCTGGCTCATGTGACCAGGTGTCTGACTTCACCGGTCTGGGCTGCGTGCTGCTGGGGTGTCGGGTTGGAAAGGGTGATTGCAGTGGGCAGTGACACTGGAGATCCGTACCACTGTGTCCTCCAGCCTGAATCTCAGGCTCAGCTCACAGCCCTTGGGCTGGGGTGGTGGGGCTTCTGTTTCCACAGCCTGTGTTCTGGGGATGGCGCCGGAGAGAAGAAGGAGCAAGGATCTGAGTCCAGGAAGCTGGACCTACCATCCAAGGAGCTCCCGTCACCAAAGGAAGGTGAGCCCTGCCGGGTAAGCCATTTCCCCTGCAGAGCCTGGCTCTCCCCTGCGGCCGACCTGGCTCCTCACCTACAGAGCTCCACCAGGACTCAGACTCGGGAAAAGGCAGGAGGAGACAGGTCCCGTAGCATCTTCTCTGCCCTCTCATTTCACAGGGTCCAGAGAGGGGAAAGACCTTTGTCCCTGCTCTGTTTCCTATCCCTCTTCCCTCTCTTTCTCATCCCACCATCCCCCACACCCCTGAAGTCAGTCTTCCATCATTGTTTTCCTTTCCCCCAATTTCTCAGTCCCAAGTCTGGCTTATTTGTCCCAATTTCTGCAAGTCCCCTGGGTCTGCCCCCTTGCACCGTCCATCTCCTTTGCTGTCTCCTTTCCTTACTCTGTCTGTTTTGGGTCTTTGGTACAAACATCACCAATCACTGCTGGCTAAGGGAGAAACAAGAATAGGATTCTGTGAAGCTCACAAAATCAAGAAAAAATGAACTTGCTGGGCTCCAGGAACAGTAGAATGAGGGATCCCAGTCCATTCTTTGGTTCACAGGCCCACGCTCAATCCACTGAGCTACACCAGCCAGGGTGGGATCCCAGTCCAAAATGAGCCAGTCTGCCTCCCAGGAAGAGTGACTGATTGGTCCACCTTGGGTGAGGCACAGAACACCTGATTCACAGTCCTTCTCCCCATAGGACAGGGGTTTCCAGGAGGAATCAAGATCCTGGGACCGAACAAAGGGCGGGTATGTGGGTATGTGAAAGGGAGGGCATGTAGAGCAGCCGCAACAGCACCTGTCTTCCATCGACCCTTCACTTATCTCTCCCGTCCTCCTCTCCTTGTCTTTCTTTTCACTGTCCTGGCTAAGAAAGATCAGGGTAAAGTATTAGTGTGAGAAGCAGTGCGGGATCCGAGCTGCGGAAGACAGATGAGACTTCAGCAGACAGAGAACACAGAGGTGTGTCGTTCAAGGCGGTAGAGCCAGATGACAAAGGCGTGGGGGTAGGGACTTGTGAGTTGTAGTCAGCCTGGAGAGCACCGCCGGATGAGTTCTGGAGGGCCAGGACAGAAGTGAACCTGGACCTCAGGCTGTCCCACTAAGGCCTCTCAGCCTCCTCTGTCCCAGCCCTCCTCTTGCCTTGTGACTCACACCCAGACCCTCCTTTCCCCCACAGGGACCCCAGGAGCAGCAGGGCCAGAGGAACAGCGTTCTTTCCGGGGCTGTGTTACCTCTCGGCGCTTTGCCTGGCACCTGGTGTGGCTTTCTGTGATACAGCTGTGGCACTACCTCTTCATCGGCACCCTCAACTCTCTGCTCACCAAGTTGGCCGGTGGGGACAGGGCTCTGGGTATGTGCCGGGGCTGGGAGGCAGCCCGTCTGCACATCCCCCTGGGGATGTGGAACCTCGAGGGTGCGGGTGCTAAGATCAGCAGGGCTATGTGCTCCAATAAGAGGTCTGAGTGGGGGGTTTAGGAAGGAGGGTCAGGCCAGGCCAGGCAAGGGCAAGGGCAAGGTGGGCCTCATAGGCCCTCTCCTGTGAGGAAAGCCTGGAAATGATCCACCAAGCCCCCCGCTCTGTCCTCTGCAGTCAGCAGCTACACAAATGCCTTTGCCATCACTCAGTTCTTTGGAGTGCTGTGTGCCCCCTGGAACGGCCTGCTCATGGACCGGCTTAGACAGAAGTACCAGAAGGAGGCGAGAAAGACCGGTGAGACCTGGGCTCCCGAGGGTCAGGGAACCAGGAGGGGAGAGGTCTTGGTACAGCTCCATGCCTGCCTTCTCTTTTGTTCTTAATCTTTTGTACTTGTATCTGTCCATCCATCCATCCATCCATCCATCCACCCATCCACCCATCCATCCATCCATCCATCCACACACCTACCCACCAGTCTTTGAGTACCAATAATGCGCCAGACACAGTTCTGGATTCAACAATGGGCAAGACAGATGGAACCTTGTTCTCAAGCTGTCCTCAGTCCAGAGGTTGGAGAGAGGCAAATGTCAGGCATTGCAGGCCATGAAGTAAATCGCAGCAGGGCTGTGGAAACATGAAAAATGGCACGTAACCTGCTCCGGGAGAGGGTGGGATTGGTGTCAGGGAAGGCTTCCTGGAGGAAGTGGCACCTGAGCTGAGAGCTGAAGGATGAGTAAGAAGTGAGGAGATGAAGAGGAGAACCCTGGAAGAGTGAGCGGCCCAGGAATACAGTGGGGTTAAGATGATGAAGGAAGGAGCAAAACATTGAAGAAGCTGGGGAATTCCAGAAAGCGATTCAGACGTCCCAGGGGCAGGCAGCGCACGGTGCTGAGGAGCGTGGACAGGATCTTCCCCTGCGTTGGAGGAACCCAGGGGTTCTGAGGTCCTTCAGCCTCTGGGGGCGTGAGTGGGGAGGGACTAAAGTAGAGAGTGACGGTTTCATCCACAGCCCTCCTCCACTTCCTGGCACTGCCTCTCCTGCTGGAGCCTTCTAAAGCAAATCTCAGACGTCAATCATTTCATCCGTAAGCACTTCAGTCAGTATCTGTAACAAATTAAGGCCTCTATTACTTCAGCGTCACAGTAATAGTATCACCCCTAAAACAACCCGATAGTTTCTTACCATCATGTAATATGTAGTTCCGTCCAGATTTCCCTAGTTGCTTCAGATATGTCTTGTTACAGTTGGTTTGTTCAAATTAGGGTCCACACAGTGTATTTTTATTTGAGGTGCCTCTTCTGTCTTTTCAAATCTGTGTCCCCCTCTCACCCCCCCCCCCCGTTTATTTGTTGAAGAAACTGGTCTTTTGGTCTGTCAGTTTCCCAATTTTGGATTTGGCATCCTTTTCATGTCATTGAAAAATGTCTCTTTAACTGGCTATTTCCTGTAAACAGGCAGATTGAAGGCTGACGGGACTCGGTTTAATATTTTTTGATGAGAATGATTCAGTGGTTGGGCAGAGGGCTCAGCGGGCCGCTGGTACCTCTTGTCCCTGCTTTATGATGTTACGATTGATCAGCGGGTTCTGATGCTGTCGTTCTGATGGCCCCTTATACAGTTTCCCATCAGCTGCCGGCCTCGTGATCTTAGCAGCCATAGGTGATCAATGCCGAGACCCATTATTTTATTAGGGTTACGAAAGGGTGTTTTTTTATTTGTATCTTCCTTTCCACTTTTAATAGCTAGAATTCCTCAAGAAAAAAAAAACCTTTTCCTTATGGTCTGTTTGTTACCCTGAAGTAAATGCTTGGCTTTTCCTCTATTTACATTTCATAATAATGAGGTTGCCATAGCAACCCCTAGGGTGACTACTTGTTTGTTTTTAAAAGTTTCATTTGACATATATTTGAATATGTTTTAATCCGTCTCTAACAAAATTCTTGACGCTCACGTTTTCTCATTTTTGGACTTGACCAGTCCAGTGTCTGTGACCTTTACATGCAACCCTATTTGTTTTAGACGGTGTCTTCACTTTTGGCAAAGTGGGAGGTTCAGGTCCATTTCCGTGGGTCTGTTTCCTGCCCCAGGCCTGAAAGCTGCCATCTTTCCAAGTAGCCCTGGGTCCCTCTAATGGGAAACCGTATTTAAAATCCACAGTCTGGGTTCTCCTGGCTTTTAGGCCTTGGGCAGAGGTAAGACATCCATAATTTTTTGGATGAAAAAAATACGTCATGAATAGCTAGTGTTGGTATTTTAATTTAAACGGTACTTCACTGAGTTTGCATCTGTGTATCTTCTGAAAATTGTGCTTACGGACAATACTATCTCTATACATATACTATGTATACATACTGTATACTATAAAGATATATAGTATTTCAAAAAATTTTATGTACAATTACTGGTTTAGTAATATCAATATTTTTAAAATTTTAATTTTCCGGTTACAGTCAATAGCAAATATTATGTTAATTTCAGGTGTACCTCATAATACAGGGTCCAGCACAAATAATGCCCCTTTTTACTACAAAATCATAAGCATGTCATTCTGTAACATAACACTATCACACCCAAGCACATCACAGGACATTTTAGGTGAAATGTTCAAATTAAAACTGTAAATTATTACACCCCGCTAACCACACTCAAGCAGGCATTACTTCTGCTGGACCCTGTATTGCTACTGTATTTTCCTGTGTATAATGCACAGCCACATTTTTGTGCACATTGTACATGGGACTATTACACCCATGGTATGTAATCATAGTGCCCATGTATACTGTGCACCGTCACTTTCCCCTCAAAAATTTGGGCAAAAAGTGAATATTATACATGGCAAATATGGTAATAATATAATTGCAATTCCTTCCTCCCTCCCTCCCTCCCTCCCTCCCTCCCTCCCTCATCCCTAGGCTATTTCTCACAAGAGACCTATAGTCAAATTACTGAGTTACAAGTCACCAACTTGATATAAAATAATGTTCATCGATTTCATTTTCTTTCTGATTTTGGGACGATTGCTTTGCTTGTTTCCTCCCTATTACTTTTATTTAATTTCATTTGAAAAACATTTGCATATCAAACATATCCATTTTTCTCAAGCCAAAACTGTGAAACAAGATATATTCAAAGACATTTAGTTTCCCTCTCTGTTCCCTGAGCTCTCTTCCTTCTCTCTGTCTTTGGTAATTATTTTTATTGTCTTTTTTCCTTAAAGAAAGACTATCTACATATAATTTCTCTCTTTCTTAGAAAAAGCGCAGCACAGTGCACACCCTGCTCTGCAGATTTCTTTCTGTGTAATTCTCTGTTGACCGAGTGTGGGTGAATCAGGAGGCTTCGCTAGAATTAAATGACAAAGTTCTCTTCAAGGGTCTTAAGTGGGTGAATTACAATTCTGGAAAGGCTACCAGGCAATACCTAGAGTGTTGCAAAGAAGAAAAAAGGGTGTCGAGTTTTTATGGCACAAAGCACATTCTTGAAGAGAATCGGTCTTGCATTCTTCTGAACTGGTGATCTTCCGGGCGCCCAGGTGTCTGGACACGTCGACATTCTTTCCTAAGTTCTTCAGAGGATTATCTGAGAGATTCATGTACCTCCAGGCACTGATGCACAGCTGAAGAATTCAAACATTTAAGTTTCCAGGCTAACGTTAGATAAAATCGTTTTCCTCAGGTTTCAGTCCACACTGACTTTAGTCTAGTGGCTGCAGTGACTCCGTCTTGTTTCTTCCCTGTCCTGCTCCACAAGGGTCTGTCCTCCTTCCTGCAGCCGCTGCCTGGTCCCCTGGTGTGTGGCTGCCGCACAGTGGATTCCCCTCTTGGTGGCTGTTTGGGTGGCTTCCAGGCCCTGGCTGTTACCAGCTGAGCCCCCGAGAGTACCTGGCTCTGGGCTGGAGGGACCAGAGCAGATGCGGACCCTGTCAGAGGCCCCTGTACTGACCCTTGAGCGATCGGACGGTGGTCTACACCCAAGCTGCGTCCGTGGAAATGGAGAGTCGTAGATATATTTGCATGGTGGTCCATGAGATGGATTATCAACATTTATTGATGGATTGGAGATGGGGCATGAGGGAGAAGGAGGTTTCAAGAATGACCCCAGGCTTCTGCCTGGATGGTCAGGCGCACGGTGGCTCCTCATTTCCTCCCCATCTTCTTGCCCCTCACTCCCCTCCCTGGTGCCCCCTCCAGGCAGCCTCTCCTCCTCTCCCTCGAACCAGGTTCTTCAGCCTCAGCCGTGGCCCTTTCCTCAGCCGTGCCTTCGCTGATCCTGACATCTCTGCTGTGCCTGGGCTTTGCCCTGTGTGCCTCGGTCCCTGTCCTCCCCCTCCAGTATGCCACTTTCATCCTGCAAGTGATCAGCCGCTCCTTCCTCTACGGGGGCAATGCTGCCTTCCTCACCCTGGCGTAAGTGGCTAGGGGTGCATTACATAGTGGAGGACACCTGGGGGCAGAAGGAAGCATGCCGCAGGTGAGAAATCAGGAGGTGAGGGCATCCCTGGAGGTGGTCAGGTGTGGCAGGCAAGGCCCTGGAGCAGGTGTAGGGGGTGATGTCTGGGGGGAGGGCTGGTGGGAGGGATAGAGAGAGCACTGACTTGAGCCTTCCTGTCAGCCCCTCCCTCCGCCTCTTATCTGTCTGGGGAGTTGCCCTGCAGCGCTCACTTCTCTCCCACGTCTCCCAGGAAAGAGCGTTCCCGCCTTTGCTCCCTTGGCGATCCCTCTGGCCTTGCTTCCTCAGGGCATGTACCGCCTGGCCTGTGGTGATCTGCTTATGTGTCTGTCTTTGCCTTGAGACCTCCCCAGGGCACAGCCTGTGTCTGGGTCCCTACTGTCTCCCCAGGGCCTAGAGAAATGACTTACCAGTGTTCCGAGGTTTGAAGGGTTGAGCCAAGGCCGAGGGGGAAGGGCTGCGTGAAGGTGGGCGGGTGAAGGCAGGCCGAGGACAGGGGAGTCGGGAGCAGGCGGCTGGCTGACAGAGGCCAACGGAGGCCAGGCCCCCACCTGCTGGGAGAGAGTCCGGAGCTCACCAGGCCTCCTCGTCTGCCCTTAGCTTCCCTGCGGAGCACTTTGGGAAGCTCTTTGGGCTGGTGATGACCCTGTCAGCCATCGTGTCCCTGCTCCAGTTCCCCATCTTCACGCTCATCAAAGGCCCCCTCCAGAACAACCCCTTCTACGTGAGTACTGGTGGGGGGGCGGGACACCCAGCTCGGGGGGGACCCCAGCAGAAGGCACCCCCAGGCACGGCAGTGTCCCGACCACAGCACGGCTTTGTTGGCCTCATTTGAGGAAAGGTCAGCAAAGTGTGGAGCAGGAGTTCAGATCGGTCATTAGGAGGGAAAAAAAGGACTAGAAACCGAGGAGAACTGTTGGATCGCGACACTGGACGTGCCTCACTTAGTCCTCAGGAGCTGTGTGCTCCTGCGTGACGTAGAGCAGGCCGCTGAGTGCTCTCGAGGCCTCTGTTTCTGCACCAAAGGAACGGGCGTAATATCCCCTCCCACCCCCACTGCACAGGGCAGAGCGAAGAATGACCCACGGTGCTTCCGCGGGGCACCACGGTGTCTGAGGGGAAATAGGAGATGAACCGGGCGGAGCACCGGTCCCTCTGTGGGTGGTGGGTGCTGTCAGCGTCCCCGGGCTTTGCATCACTCCTCCCCCGCCCCCTCCAGGTGAACGTGATACTGGTGCTGGTCACTCTCCTGACCTTCGTCCACCCCTTCCTGGTGAACCGGGAGTGCCGGCAGGAAGCCACTGCTGCCACGACCACTTAGTGCGGAAGCCCCCGCTTTGCAGCCCTTCGAATGCTTTTGCTTCTCTTTCTTGGAGGACCCTGTTTCCAGAAAGACTTCGTCCACTCAGGGTACCTGTGTTAAATAGCCATTGTTTTCTCTTAAATAAAAGATGTATCTAACTGCCAGCCAAGGCTTTTGAGCAGTTGCCAAGCTGATCGACTTCATACAAACCCGCAGCAAAGGCACACGGTCGGCGGCAGGAAGCCCATGGCCTCCGCAGACTTGGCCTGAGGGGAGGTGATGTGACGTTTGGCACTGAAGCCCATGGGTGCCTGGGCTCCGTGCTGCTGGGATGACTTTCCACGTGAAGAGTAAGGTCGTCATGGCCTTGGCCATGCCACTTGGCATCCAGAGGTGGTGCCCAGCTTGCCCTCAAAGGCACAGCCTTGGTGGAGGGCAGCAATGAGGTGGGGGAGAAAGAGGAGCGGACAGGGTGGGGGTGGGGTCCCTGGGCCTAAGGCCCAGCTCTGTCCCTGATGCTGGGTGACCCTATGCAGACCTTGTCTGGTCTGATCATCAATTTTCCCATCTGTAAAATGGGAGGGTTCTGGAGCTGAAGGCTCTTTCTAATGCCCTAGAAGACTTGGGGAACACTGACAGGGTCAGGCCACCCAAAGGGCCTTGGGAGCCAGCTGGCCTGCTTGATTGAAGGATTTCTGATGAAGACTTTTGGGCCTATTTTCATCTCCAGAAAGGGGGTGGTGATTACTTATTTTGGGTGTTAAGTAAAAAATTTCTCTGGGGGATAATTTTGAGATAAATAAAGCATCTCTGCCTAAGGCAACCAGTGCTCTGCCTCTCCGGGCTTTGGAACTGTGGGTACGTGTGTGTGCATGGGCGTGCATGCATGTGTGAACCTGCCCGGTGCCCCCGCTTGGGGGGCTGAACACTCAAATGGCGGTGGAGGAGTCTGGCTGCAGCATTCTGGTTTGGCAGCTGAACCCAGAGGTGGGACAGAAACCCTGAGCCTGGGGCCACCCGCTGGTCCTGGGACAGGGCTTGAGATCCCTTCTCCCTGGGAATCTCTTCCTTTGCCTCCTCTTCCTCCTCCCCCCAGCCCCCACCTCCACATGGCACCCTCCCGCTGGGAGCACTGGGTGGAATCGGAAAGTCCCTGCATGAGTCTTACTTCTGCCGCTCTGCAGACAGGCCAGTCCCCTCGCCACTCTGACTCACAATTCCCTCACCTGGGAAGTTCAGTTCATTTCTATCTCTGAGGGCACTGGTGAGAATTTAAGTAATTGCTACTGCTTAGCACGTGGCAGGATCACAGGAGTGTTCCTTCATTTATGCATGGCCAGAGAGGAGAGGGCAGAAGAGAGGGAGGAGCTGCGGGATCAGGAGGGAGGGAGATGGTGGCTGGGTGAGGCGGGGGAGCCTGGAACACATGAGGTGTTACATTCCAATCAGGCAGGAGAGGGGCTGGGATAAGACAGTGAAGGGGAGGTGCATTCATTCATTCATTGTTAGTTGTTCAGCAAATGTTTACTGAGTCCCTACAATGGGTCAGTTGTGGTCCTAATCCTGGGAATATGAGATGCACAGGGTCTGAAGCCACCTGTTCTCTGAACTGCCAAAGGGTGATTTCCAAGGGTCTAGGACCCTGGATCTGAAGACAGACACCAGAGTGCTAATGGATGTCTTTCATCTAATCTTGCTCAAAAACGTTCATGTTTTGTCTTCAAGAAGGCTCCCTGCTGCCCAACAAAGAGTCTAGATCCTGGCCTGACATTCATGGCTCTTAACAATGTGAGGCCACCCCCTTTCTCTTCCCAGCCCCCTGCACCTGCCATCTCCAGGGGGACAGAACTCATCAGCCCCAGGGGCCCAGGGCCTGGTCTCTGGGTCTGTGAACACACACAGTTCCCCTGCACTGGGCGCTTGCCCCACCTCTGCTAGGGGCACCTGCCTGGTCCCCAGGGGTGGCCATCTCCTCTTAAGAAATCCGATCTTAGGCTCTCCAGCAGCTCCGAGTTCACAGCACTCGTTCACAACCTTCCTGGTGACAGCATCTGCCTGCTCGGATGGCACCCTCTCCTAACCTGGACAGCCAGGTCCAGGAGGCAGCACTGGGGTCCGGCTCAGTGACTGATGTGTGCTTGCCACCCGAGTGGCACAAGCTGGGGCTTGTTCAATAATAGTCACTGGGCAAGGCGATTCCTGTTCCGGCCTCAGAGCCACGTGGAAGCAGGGAGCAGAGGGCCTGGGGTGGCAGGCAGCGAGGCGTGGGGTTGGGGGAAGAACAGGGAGGAACCAGACCAACCCTTTCACCATCCTACCCCATCACCAGCGTGACCTTGCACGGGCCACTTCACCTGTACATGGCAGTTTCTTTGTCAGGACCGTTGTAAGAGTTAGAAATTAGGCCCAGTACCTACACGTGGTAGGTACTCAGCAGGTCACAGCTGTCATTGCACTTAGTATATTAAATTTAGAAAAGATGCTGAATGTCCACCAAGTGGCGGATGGAGAACCAGAATGTGGTCCATGCACACAGGGGAGCAGTAGGCAGCAATACAAAGGTAATGGAGCACTGACACAAGATGAATGACAGAAGCCGGTCACAAGACAGCACACATGGGATGATTGCCTTTGCTTGTGAAAAGTCCTGAGTAGGCACCTCTAGAGGCAAAAGGCAGGTTAGGGGTTTCCTGGGCCTGAGGCAGCAGGTAATGAGGGCTAATGGGGAAGGGGCTTCTTTTTCAGCAAGATGACAATTTTCTAAAGTTGATAGCAGTCATACAATTCTGAAATATACTAAAACCCACCGAATTAACACTTTAAACGGGTGACTTGTGCGGTATGTGGGTTGTATCTCAATAGAGATGTTACTGAAAATAAAGAAGGTGCCTGGATTCCTCAGGAAGGACAGGGAACACACACCCTGTCAGAGGGGATTTCTGGCCAAGACGAGTAAAGGGAAGAGAGCAGCAGCCCACATGCACAGTCTGGAGGGCCTGCCTCTTGCAGCCTCTTCCACAGTTGGGACCAACTGCTCTTTCAAAGGAGGAAGGACGCAACCAGGAGTTTCACAAGTTTTGATCTCCCTCTGCAACAGGCTCCCAGCACAACCGTCCTCTCCCCTACCAGCCCCAGCAGAGACTGGCTGGAGCAAAGCTGACCCCTCTGCAGCAGGCTGCCTGTCAGGCGGGGCCATCCCCGGGGGCCAGAGGGCACCTTAAGAGTTGGAGGGCACCTGTGGTTTCAAGGACAGCTGATGGCATGAGTTAGGGACTTTGTGTGACTGTCTGGGTCCTCATCCCACCTTTGCAGATGGGGCAAGTCAGGCTGTGAGTGGCACATGGTGTCCAAGATCATGCAACCAGCAGGTTGTGTGGCAGGTATTTAAACTCAGGTTTGTCTGACTCCTCAGGTCAGGTCCACTGCAGGTGTTCCCTTCTCTTTACATCCACTCTTACGTAAGAAACACATGGTGGTCGCAAGACAGATCAGAAAATACAGAACTACGTGAAAAAGAAGTCCCACCACTGAGAAACAACTGTGGTTCACATGTTGGCACGTGTCCCCCAGAGTCATGTGAACATGTTCAGGGGACACTGGAAATAATTCTGTAGCTTTTCTGTATGTCATCCAAGAGTTGCCAAAAGCATGACTGTAATCGGCTGCTCATAACCCATCCCATGGCCACATCACAGCCAGTTTGTCATCGCCCACCCACCCATCCTGGCCAGGAGTCCCCTTCACATAGGAGTTGGGACACTGTGCCCCACTCTCCTGCTGACCCCTCTGCTGCCTGAGCAGGGGTCCCAGATGACAGCCCGGGGGAGCCACCAAGGTGAGTGGACAGGAGAATATCAGAGATAATAGAGTCCAGGGGGCCAGCTGTTTCCAAAGAGCCACTTTAGAAGTTTGATCATTGTTGGTTAATTTACTCTTTAGCTGCAGGTGTAGCTGCTGGCTTCCCAGCGTCCCTGGACCCTTGTTTCCAAGTTGGAAGCTTGGGCAAGGGCTCCAGTAGGTGTTTGAGGAGCCCGGTTTCCTGCCAGCCCCTCAGAGGCTAGAGGATTCTAGGTGCCTGGGGCGGGACTCGGGCACAGCAGGAAGCACATGCTGCAGCATTTTTCGGGAAGGACACTGCCATGCAGCTGCAAAGCACAGGCTCTGGTCCTTTGTTTGGCCATGGGGAGGTCCCATGTGGGACATGTCTGGTGGTTTCTGGGCACCCAGCAGGTCGCTGCCTATAGTACAGCTGCTCACCAGCAGGCAGGGTGATTAACCAGGACCACCACCCCAGGTTTTCCAGGTGGCACATGGAAAAGAGAGGTTGGACTACTTATTTTCTAATTATAAACATCTGCTTCTTGGCCCCTCCCAGTGTCACCTCCCAGGCCTGAACGTGGACTCCAGTAGCAGGTGTGGAAAAGGCTCTGGGCTTTGCAGGCACCAGCCAGCTCTGTAACCTTGAAGAAACCCTTAATTCTGGGCAGCCTCAGTTTCCTCACCTGAAACAGAGTTTGGAACCCCTGTGAACATAATCACAAAGAGTAAGCAAGATAGTCTGTGGTTCACAGATGCTGAAAACCTCGGCATCGTGCATCGGCAGTCTTGCCTGGGGGTAATGTGGACTGTGGGACAAATCAAAGAAGCAAGTTCCTAGGAGTCAGACTAGGGTTAGACAGGCCATTGCTTTCTAATTGTATGAACTCGGGCAAGTCATTTAACCTCTCTGAGCTTCATGGGTCAGTAGCAGACGAGTGATGGCAATACCCAATTCGTAGGATGATTGTAAAGATTAAGAAGGTTGTCCTGGCTGGCGTAGCTCAGCAGTTTGAGTGCGGGCTTGGAAACCAGAGGGTCACCTGTTTGCTTCCCAGTGAAGGCACATGCCTGGGTTGCAGGCCAGTTCCCCAGTGGGGGTGTGCTAGAAGCAACCACATATTGATGTTTCTCTCCCTCTCTTACTATTTCCCTTCCCGTGTCTCTAAAAATAAATAAATAAAATCTTTTAAAAAAGGAAAGTTAATGGATGTCAAAGCCTCCATGGAACGTAGTGTTTAGTCTGTCACAGGAGATTTGTATTCACGGCAGAGCCTGAGAAGCCTGCTGTGTGTGATGGCTCAGTTGTCATTGCCTGCACAGCCTCAGGGGTGGGTGTCTAGGATTT